TGAACAGTGATGATTTTTAATGGGAAAAAAATATTATAAGGCAAATGGAAATTTTGTCTCTCTGGCAGGTCATTACAGAACATAAGTTTACGTTAAGCTGCATTTTGCATGTGATTAAGTTAGACACCCAGCAGATTCTGAGCGTCCTATGGCAGGATCCTTGGCTATCCTGTCTACTTGCATACACAGAGCTTAGGGAAACCCTGACTTCTAGGAACGTATCCCTTCTAGGTTCACTGTAATAGTTCTCCTTTTCTGAACAGCCCTTTAGGGGACTGTTCAAATCTAGGAGGATCTGTGAGATCCAGCATACTCAGACTTGAAAGACCACATAACAGATGCGTGCGTGTGTGTTTGTGTAGAGAGAGTGATCCCAAGGGGAAGGATGCATGGTAATGGAAGTGTCTGCAAATGCATAGATTTCCTTTGGAAATTGCTCCTGAGTGGTTGACCCATTTTTGTGAGTTTGAATATTTAAAAAAAATTCAAATCCTTTATTTTTAAAATACATCTTGTTCCTAGGGATAGAAAATTCTTCCTAGGTATAACAGAAGCTGCCTTCATGCAGAGCTTATTCGAAATCTCTGTTTGAAGTTAGAAATCCTGTGGATGCTCATTTTAAATAAAGAGAAAAGTCACTTCATTCACTATTTTTGTCTTAGAATGGCACATTTATGTTACTTTCGGTTTAGTTCCCAAACTAAAATGTTGTTGGAGAGATTTCACCAAGTCATCTTGATTCTGTGCAGGGAAGATCCACCAGGCTTTCAGGCTTGTTTGTCCTGTGAGATTGCCTAAACTTCTGTACTAAGTCTGGACGTTTGGGCTGACGTCCTGCCTCTGGCACTAGCAAATTCCGCGTGCTCAGAGGAAGTAGACCCCTAAGCCCAACTAATGTTCCCCTGGACAATTATGCAGTGCTGTTTGCAGAAGATACTGCTGTATCTCCCTTTATAAAGGTTTGCTTCAACTGTAGTCACGGTGTGGCTTCTGTTAATGTTAACTGAATCAATACTAGCTTTAAAATAGCTAGAACGAGTACTGATAGCAAAATAGACGTGATGGTATGGGTTTCAGTGCGAGATAATCATTTACCTGGGTTCTTGGATTATTTTTGTCCTATGCAGAGTTCTGCTGCCAATGCTACACTGTTATCAGCGAGTTTGAAGCTAGTTCTGATGTAGATATGTGAGCTCCAGTCCTATCTTGGCTATTTAAATTATCCTAAGATATAAAGAGGATCAGTTGATCTAGAGAAATTCAAAGAAATGAGATTGTACTTTCTCATTTCATGTCAGACTGGAGATTACCAGAGTTGAACTTTCTGCCCTGTTCCAGCGGCCTGTGGTTTTTGTTTTGTTTTTAAACCAGGCAGGTTTTCTTAAAACTTGGATGTTTCTAGAAGCTATTGAGCTACATCCATTTATTCTTCTTGAACAAAGCTGAAGATTATAGACTAGACTTTTAGCATGTCTATGCTAAGGACTAGGCAACTCTAGAAAATGGGAGTGAAAAGTCTTGTTAATCTGCCCTAGATGACCTCTTAAGATGACTTGTATCCTCTGTTCAACGTAGTTCAAACAGGCTTTTGCAATGTTGCATTGAAAAGCAGATGCACCTTTTGAGTCCCACTACAAGGCAATTTGAAGTTGCTGCTACCCAAAAAGAATCCATCTTCATGCAGCAAGAAAAAAGCCTGCTATATCTTATTTGAAGTCAGTGTACACAATGACTAGCGTGCAGATTTTCCACGTTCAGCATGCTTGGGATAGACTCAGCAAAGAGCTTTACTTTAGTAGGTTCCATAGCACTGAATTATTAATTTGCTTCTTTTGGCAGAAAAGCCTTCCTATGTGTGAACTGCACAGAGTGTGCCAGATTAACAGCTACCACAACTGCCAGGCCAGTTTGTTTGCTGAGGGGTAACTGTTACCTACCTGAATGACTGACATGGCTGATTATCATGGCCTGTCCTGCCCAGAGCAAATTCTAGCCTATGTGCAGTCTTTGTCACTTTGAGCAAGTTTCTAGTTTGGAACTGGGAAGGGCTGGTAGGTGTGGAGGATTCCTTATCTCTAATGTTAAACTAAGGTTGTTAATATCAATTGGTTCGTGCTGCTAATGACTCTTTTGCGTTTTTTTTTTTTTTTTCCAAACAACGTTTTTTTGGTAGGAGGTGAAATTGGCCCTGAAATGCTGGAAGAGATGAGAGAAACTAACCGTGTGCTGATGGAAGTTCGAGACTTGTTGAAACAGCAGGTAAGTAAGAAAGGGACCTAATTCCTTGCTGCACAGGAGAGATCACCGAGCCTTCCACCTTATGTGCTGAGCTGTGGAATAGGAAGGCCTCTTGCTTTAGATGAAATGGTTCTGTTGCTCTGAAGATCAGGATCACAAGGTAGTGTTGCAGTCAGATCTGTAATTCTGGGATAAAGTAGATTCATTTGAATGCAAATTCTGTTGCTTGGAAGCATGTCTGCTGAAAAACAGCATAAGTAGAGAACAAACTCTTTTAACAACAAAAATGTGCATACAGCGGGTGTATGTTTATCTGGAAAAATAAGTCACTTTTTCCTTGGTTTTGTGGGCTTGTGAAACCAGTAGAGAGAGGCCAAATCTGGAAGATGGAGGAGACCTTTCAGCCGCCTATTAGGGTCCTGGAAAGGAAAGTCATATGGAGTCTAAACAAGCTCTGTATTCACTCTTTTCTCTTTTTGCTTTAATCCTAAGCCTGTCTGGCTCCAGTAGGTTCTGAGGGAATTTGGAACTTCTTGGGTGCTTAGATCTTTTCCCATTTTAATGAGATGGTGGTTTGTCTGGTCCACTCTTTTTTTTTTTTTAAGTATAGAAAAAGGTTCCATTCTCCCTTTATCCACTCCAGGAGCTGAGGGCAGCAGCCTCTGCCTGCCAGATAATTGGAATGGCAGACAGGTCTCTGTGCCAGTGCAAACCGGGCGGCCTCTAATCTGCAAAAACATCTGTTGCGTTGAGTTACTCTCACATTTCAGGCTGCTGCATAAATACCCAGTGTTTACTAGGAATCAGGTCAGACATGGTTCCTGGCAGCCTGGAGCAATGATTTCCAGTGTTCCCTTCCAGCTTAGCATTGCTTCTCCATACAGGTTTTATATTTGTTCTTTCTGTTGCTCTTGCCACCTTTTTTTTTTTTTTTTTTTTTAAATCCATGGCCTTTTTCTCAACAGTGCTTTCAAGAAAAGTCTCCCTCAGAGGAGAAGCTTGCATATATCACTGGAGAGCCAAGGTGGCAGTTCATAATTTGTTAATATATGCAAAGATGTTCTGAAACTTAATTTTCCTTGAATCAGCATTTTGGGATGTTGGCAATAAGGATGGCAAAAGGAGTAATACTAAAAGGCCAGGTCTGCTCTCCTGATCCACAGGCTGAATGATTCTTGGCACAGAGGAACTACTGATGTTCATCAGCAACACTCCAAGTGCTCCCCTTTGTCTAACCTTCTCCCCCCCTCCCTCCCTCCCTCCCCAAACCATCACCATGGGAGATATTTGAGGATTTCGGTTAGGTCTATCTCTCCATTAACTACTAAGACCCTAGACCATGTTGGAGGGAAGAAAGCATCTAACAGAGAATGAAAGCTTGCTGTTATACCTGGGACCTGGCAGAAAGACATGAGCAGACGCTTTTATCTGAGCGCAAAGTGAAATGACTTGATAGTGGAAACATAAAGCCCACAGGATGAGGAAGGGTGGTCGTGTAATTGCTCTTGAGCATCAGTTGTAAATAGCCAGTAAGGCTTTTGTGGGAAAGACGCCTGCTAGGATTGCTATCTGAGATGTTAGAGGAACATGAATGTTAGCTTGAGGTTGACCTGCTTCTTTGAGCCTGTCCCATATTCCTTTCTTCACCAAAGGAACAGCATCTCTTCACTGCTGATGCTACAGATTATCTGTTTAGTGAAGCAAGCTTGAAGGAATGGTAGCCTTGAAGAGATCAGAGGAAGTCTGGAAAGAGGAGGCTTTGTGAATAGCCTCTAGATGTCTTAATGGCAAGGGGATTAGGGCCAAAGAATGGCATAAACCAGGTCAGAGATGATGGATATATGTGCAGAAATAGCACATAGGAATCTCCTCCTGACTTTACCTATGCGGTACCTGGGCTACAGATGAAGTAGGCCCCTCTAGGACTGCTAGTTCAGCATCTTCTAGAGTATAAGACCCAAATAAAGTAGATACCTCATTCTTTATGGCACTTGTTTTCTATGTTTTTGAATCCAGTATTTCCTGCATCTGTCATAGAATAATGTTACCTAGTTAGCCTGTAGGAACACTACAGCAGGAGTGACTTACAGCAGGAGAACAAGGCACTCCAGCTTCCAGAAAGTCTGCAACACAGACTTTGGGGTACAAGTTAATTTGCTTGTAAGTAGCTGTGCAGTTCCAGAGAGAGAGCCTTTTTTCTGGCAGTGGGGCTATTGGTTTGCGTGGGAGTAAAACTCGGCCTTTAGCTAAGTGGTGGTTCTTGTTTTCTTCTAGATTAAGGAGATAACATTCCTGAAGAACACAGTCATGGAGTGTGATGCCTGTGGTGAGTTACTAAGCTGAAATGCTCAGTATCCAGCTGCCTCCTCCAACTGCTTCATACATTTGTGTCCAAACAAGTAGTAAATGACACCTGTGACTGTCTCCCCAAAGGCATTGGCTTGTTTCACCATTGTCCTGAGTGTAACAGGGTATATTCAAGGTTAATGATGCCTTTTTTTCCCCCTCCCCAATACATTTTGCATGCATGGACCAGTGCTCCCTACTGTCCTCATGGCTCAATGGCAGATGAAACTATTATCCCTTTGCTGAGTGTGGGGTGCAGGAATGGCCTTAGAAAGCTTACCTTTCTTTCAAGCAAATCCCCATCGTTTGTCTACTTCCACTGTTTTCAAAATGAGGTTTGTTAGTGGTTCCATGACATGTCATGCTGTACTTCTCAGGGCGGTTGCGGCATTTTAGGTGCTGAAACTTGCCCAGCCAAGTGTCTCCTAATAACCCAGCCCATGGCCCATGTTAGAATTGCCCAGGAATGCGTGCTCGGTGTCCTGTGGTATATAGCTGGCTATCCTTGAGCTGTGAATAGAAGAGAACATCACCCCCAAGAGGCATTGCTCTGCTGTTCCTTCCATCCGAATGCTGTCACTATCCAAGCAAAGAGCTTGTTTACAGAGGATTTGGGAAGCAGAGTCATAAAACTTTCCAGTATAAATTTTACTCTCCATTAAAAATCTTGCTCCCCATTAAATGATTTTTCTGGACTGGAACTTGCTTCCATTATATCTGGCTTTCAGAAAGCATGGTTCTTGGAGATGCTCTGTTATTTGCTGGTACACTCAAAGGGCAGAGCCATAACTGTTTCCACATTTGGAGACTTCTACTGGAAAAGAGATTAGCCAAAGCCTCTGGGATCTGTAGCATAGAAATGCATTCACCCACCGCAATTGTTTAAATAAGTTGCTCATAAAACTGTCTCGAACTTTCTCTCTGTCACTTGATCTCTGCCTTCCCTGCTTGCTGTTCCACTCTACGTACATTCTTCTCCTGCACTCCTCACTGTAGAGAGCTGCTTTTAGTCATGCATTGAACAATGCAACTCCTATCAATCATGTGTTGTTCTCATCATTTCCCGAATGAGAAGCATGAAGAGAGTAGGCCGCCTTCTTGGTGAAGATTTTGCTGGTGATGGTGGTAGGGTGTTGGGTTTTTTGTTTGTTTCAGGTAATTAAGTTAGGCTTTTAAGCTGAAGAAAGCAAGATCAGAAAGTGTCCTTGCCACTTGGAATAGTGGGTGTGGTTGATTTGTGGCAATTCTAGTTTCTGAAGGAGTTTATTCACGGTCTTGAATTTGCTTTCAGTGAAGTTCTTTATCCCACACAGATTCATTTTTCACGTTTTCTTGTGCTGTGGGAGTTCAGTTCTTGATCATAATTTTGATTCTGGGGCCTTTAGGTTCTTTGTAGATGTTCTGAAGTCAGGTCATGAGGATAAGGATGAAAACCTTGTACTTGGCCTAAAATTCTGAGGGAAGTAGGGGGATGGACTTCATGTGTTCACAGTGCTTCCAAATAGGAATGCTGCAGCATTTTGTGTGGGTTAAAATTTCCTAGCATCACAATACTTAATGCTTGGGTATATCATATTGCTGTATTCTAGCCTAGAAGTGATGAATGTGTGAATAACACATTGATTTCTCATCTGCCAGGATGAAGTGAAGTTTCCTAGGCCACTGGAGATAATAAGTAGCATATTATACATAACGCTGTTCCATGAAAACCTTATGAGCCAGACATTGAGTGTGTTCCTGCTACAGACCAAGTTGACCTGTTTAAGATGTCTGTCTCCTACAGTGGAGACTGACTGACAGTCCTCCACAGTGTTTCCCAGCCTTAAGTCTGTGCTCTCTAGTTTCTGCTTCAGCCAGGTGTCTGAGCCTGTGCTGCCAGTGGGGTGTAGATGTGAAGGAACCAGAGAGAGAGAACTGATCTCGGTGGAACTCCAAACACAAGGGCGCTACACCAGCAAAGAGGGCAGCATGACCAGGGTTTTGGCCTGGGAGTTAAGACTTCCGGATTGCTTGTTTTTTTCGTTTGTCTCCTCCGACTCAGAAGTCGGTCAAGCTGCTGCTTTTGACTTCACTTTTCTCTATTTACAAAATAGAGCCACAACTGCTCAACCCTCAGAAGGACCGCAAGGAAGTGTCCTGTGTGTGAAACATGCTGAGATCTTCTAGTTGATGTGATGGGACCACCTGATGATGAACTCTGGCAGTAGCTGTTCTTAATGTTCCTCTTGTCCTCCAGGCATGCACACCGAGGCAACAGGCCCTCTCATCACCGTAACACAGTTCAACAGATGCATCCCAAACCCCTGCTTCCCTGGAGTTGCTTGCACTGAGACCAGCACTGGCTTCCGCTGTGGACCCTGTCCCCCAGGTTATTCAGGCAATGGGTCCCAGTGCACGGATATCAATGAGGTAACAACCAAGTAGGCCAGGTCAGAAGTTACAAAATTGGCTCGCTCTTCTTGGAGTGCTGTGGGTTTGTCTTGTGGCTGATGCGAGTCCTGCAATATCCCTGGCAGTTCAACAGAAACATCCTTTCACTGGAAGGAAGTCTGTACCTCACCTTGCCTCGAGCTCTGTTCCATGTTGTCTTTAAATCCAGTCTAACTAGCTATTTCTTTCTAAAAGATACAGGGCTTCAAACAAAATAAATCCTTTTGGTCTTGTACTTTTTATTTATTTATTTATTTTTTAGAAAGTCAAGTGCAGTTTTCTCTCTGCATGGGTAAAGCATGTCTGTGAGATTCTTTAGTTGTATGGTTCCCACGCCATAGTCTTATGCTTCCTGGCTAGTCCACCAACCCACTGTAAGTGTCTTGCAAAGCCACATCGCCTCTATAGTGTTCCAGTTTAAAAACCTAGTGAAGCTAAAGGATCCATGAGAGATTTGGGGGTGGATGGTAGACTTCTAGCCCCAAAACGTGGGAACTGCTGCGTTAGTGCAATGCTTCTGCCAGTACGGAGTACAAGAATTCAATGAAAATACTGTCTGCACAACCTCTTTTCTTTTTTATAGTGCAATGCAAACCCCTGCTTCCCGAAGGTCCAGTGCACTAACACCGCCCCAGGCTTCCGCTGTGATCCTTGCCCTCCTGGCTTCACTGGGCAAATGGTTGAAGGGGTCGGACTAGCTTATGCCAGGGCCAACAAACAGGTAAGGCCCAGAAACTCTTCTGTTTCCTTCAGAAGCCATTAACTCTTTTTCCTCTAGAAGTGTAAGCCAAGGGTCTTGGAGCTCTCAAAAATATGGGAGGGAGATACATGGTTGCATCATATTAGAGAAGGCTGTGATGCAGTGAGAGGAAAGACTTGGCAAGGATGTCTTAGCCCATCAGCAGCAAAGCAACTTCCATTCAAAGACTTTCTCTCTGCTGAATTTATGCTGGTCAGAGTGTCAAGTCTGTGACACCTTCATCTATGGCTACGAAGCCAGCCTCGGGATCCCTTATATTAGGACACAAAAGAGTTGATGCAGCTATTGGATATGCATACCCACACGCACAGATATATTAACAAAAATAGCCTCAGTGTGGTCTCTGAGAAAATATTCAAAAAAGGAAGAATAGCCTGTGGCTTGTATTATTTAGAGAGTCATAGGACTGGTCATAGGACACAGTCTTTGACCTTCTTCCTTCATTGACTCTCTTCTATCCTTTAGCAGTAAGGAGATCCTCTGACAGCTCAGCTCAGAGCTAAGCTATTTTGCCATGCTAAAATCACTGGTGGCTCTGTAGAGGATGAACGACTTGCCTGGGGTGAGGAGTGTTGCTGGGATCTGTCTCAGGCCTTGCCTGAAGGAAACCTTTGAGCTGTGGGTCCCAGCAAGATATGCTGGGGGCTTTACACCTGCACCTTGTAATGTCCTAATTCAATAACCTGACAGGATATCTACTTAAGAGTGAAGTTAACGTCTAATTTGTTCTTCCTGAACAGGTTTGCACTGACATCAACGAATGTGAGACAGGTGCTGCCGAAAATTGTGTCCCAAACTCCATCTGCATCAATACACGGGTAAATATCACTGGAAAGCCTTGTGCTGGTCTCTCTTTCCTAGGCTCTGGGGAATGCTTCCCTCTGTTAGCTGTGGCAGTCCCGCTGCTGAGGACAGAGGACAAGTAACAGCAAAGGCTTGCTGGGGCTAAAGTTATAGTTAATTCCTTATTGCTTTTTCTCACAGGGATCCTACAAATGTGGAGCTTGTAAACCTGGCTTTGTTGGGGATCAAATCACAGGATGCAAGAGCCAGACAGTAAGACGCTGCCCTAATGGTGAAGTTAGTCCATGCCACGAGAAAGCACGGTGCATTGTGGAGCGTGATGGGTCCATCTCCTGCGTGGTAAGGCCCAAACATCCTTGCACTTGGGGTCTGCTCGTTTTTCTTTCCCCTGCCTTGTGTGTGCTCTCCTGGGTCTACCACTGCCCTCTCCTGGAGACCGTACCTCCCCAGCACAGTCCTGCTCCCCACTGACTCCTGAGCTAGGGCAATATCTCTTTCAGTGCTCTCTAGAGAATTGGACTGCTCCTGGAGCAGCAGGTTATCTCTGCACTGCACCTCAGAGGTACTGGCTTTTTATGTGGAGCACGACAAACTTGTAGTTGCAGAGCGTTGCACAGTAGCTGAGAAGGGGGAAGTACGATTCAGCATCCCGCTGGGGCCAAAAAGTTTTGCTGCTGCATCTGCCTTTATAGCTCAGGAGCAAGCAGAGAGCTTGTATCTTAGCTATTTAAAATACTGTTTACAGCATAACTGTCTGCTGTAGGCAGTATTTTTCCAGCAGAGTGTTGTGTACCTGGATTTGCAATGGTCTTGCGCTGTCCTCATGTAAGACTTTCAGTTTTGGAGGCATGTGCCTATCAGAGGACTTACCAGCAGCCTCACTTTGTTTATCTGCTATCTTGCAGTGCCTTGTGGGGTGGGCAGGGAACGGCTACGTCTGTGGGAAGGATACGGACATCGATGGAGTCCCTGATGAAAAGCTACGCTGCTCTGACAAAAAATGCCGCAAGGTAAGATGTGTTTGTCTTTGAGACTGGGTTCTGATTTGAGGGCAGGCCTTTACCCTTCCTTTGGTGCCAGTTAGAACCTGCCCCATCCTCAGAACTCAGAAAGGCTTTAGAATATGCACAACTTGCCAGCAGGCCTTGGCACTTGACTGTTGCTTTTCTTTCAGGATAACTGTATGACTGTCCCCAACTCTGGCCAGGAAGATGCAGACAGGGACGGAATTGGAGATGCTTGTGATGACGATGCTGATGGAGACGGGATATTAAATGCTGAGGTTTGCATTCTAAGACTTATCCTGACATGCCCATGTGTACCCAGAGGTTCTGCAAGGCACCTGCCTGCATCTTTCATGTGAATTTAGAGAACCTGCAGGTCACGCTGTACAATATTTCCTCTTTCTCTGAATAGTTTGAAGGCACCAATTTCTGCCCTAGCTGAGCATTGGTGGGTCTGGGGAGCTTGTGCTGGACCTGAACAAGAGGCTACTTACAAGGCCTAGTTATAAATATGCCATTAGACACACTTGTTCTGTGTTGTGCTGCTAGAGGTCCTCACTGCCCTAATGCAGGCAGGAGAGAACTTACTGGGACTGAAGGGAACCTGGAAGTCATGTTCCCCTGAGGGGTGGGAACCCTCTCACTTCAAGCTCTGGTTGGAGATATTTATAGGTATTACTGGTATTCACTGAAGAGGCAGTGACTAGGCTAAACAGAGGAAACCAAGACTGGCTGCACATGCACTGCTGGGCTGCTCAGAGCAGCTGGCCACGTACCTCACAATCTCCATCTCTTTCGTGCCTCCATACCATGCCCAGTGCCAAACGCTTCCGTTCAGACAGTGCCTCTCTCCTGCAGGACAACTGTGTGTACACACGCAACACAGACCAGCGTAATGCAGACAAAGATAACTTTGGTGATGCCTGTGACAATTGTCGCCTTGTGAAGAACGATGATCAACGGGACATCGATGGTGACGGAAAAGGAGATGAATGTGACGATGACATGGACGGTGACGGTAAGAGCAACTGGAGAACCTCCTCCAAGACGTGCACCTGTACTGATACAAGAACCAGAAAGCTATTCAGTGCCCAGCTATGGATTCTAACGGCAGGCAATCAGCTTAAACTCTACCAGAACAGAGCTAGTTTCTGATAGGATGAAGCACAGCTCAGTTCTTGGACACCAACATCAGCAGTCAAACCAGCATCCTTCACAGTGCAGCTCTCGCAGAGTTTAAAGGTCTATCACACACTACTTTCAGGCTAGTGCTAACAATTTTTGTTAGCATGTTTATTGTGCGCACTCACAAATCAGTGCTGAAGTATCCTTCAGAAAGAAACATGTAACAGACAAACGGATTTCAACCCAGACAAGGACGCTACTTTATACTACAATTTAAACTTGCAAAACAGTGCAGGGAGATCCAAGTTGTTAGAAGCTACTGGCTCGAGGCAGTATGCGTCAGGATTGCATTCTGGAGGGGAGGGAAAAAAAAAACCGGCTGGTTTTAGGAACGGTCTATGTACTAGTAATGCTTTATTTACACACAGCCTGCTTTCCAAAGCCAGAAATCACAACTGCTGCTGGCCTGACACATGCATATTTATTTACAGATTATTTCCAGTGCCTCTAGTGCTGTTTGGGTCTTGCTACTTCCTGCCAAGTAGCTTCCTGCTGGCATGATTTGCTGGTGTGGTAGGTAAATGCCGAAAAGTGGGAAGTGAAGTCATACAGGTTGCTGATTAGATTGTTTCCTGTCTGTCTCAGGCCTTGAAAAGACAGTCTAAATCTTCCATTTAAAACAGCCAAGGTTAACCTTGACTTATTTTATAATTATATAGATGTCTCCTTTAGAGGAAAAAGAATCTGTTATGGTTTGGGGAACCACAGACAGCGTCATCTTCGTCCTTTTGGCCTCTCACTCCTGCCTCGATATGGTGCCAGTTTGGAGCAACGCTCCTCAGTTCCTTGGCTTTCTCTAAGGAATGCAGTTAGGGTCATTTCCTCCCAGATTCATTTTCAATAGTGTGCTTAGACACCCATAACGGTGCAGTTTGGAGTATGTTTTAAGATAAGTTGCTGCTGATCTCTTCCTGCCCCAATAGTTGCTAGGATGTACCTTAAATGAATACAAGTATGTAAAATATGCATTACAATGGAAGTATCTTTTATTGCATGAGTTCAATGGAGAAAACATCTATTGAACAATGAACAAACAGCAAGGCTGTCCTAGTCTTTTTGTTGTCTTTTACATCCAGAAGTGATCTTTGCTGCAGGCATCCTAATAGCACTGCTGACTTGATGAGTTGTCTTTGTGTGTTTTACAGGAATCAAAAACCCAACAGACAACTGTGAAAGAGTCCCTAATCCTGATCAAAAAGATAGTGATGGAGATGGAGTAGGAGATGTGTGTGACAGCTGCCCAACAGTCAGTAACCCAGACCAGGTAAGTAAGCACTTCAAATTTGGCAGTCTTACCACTTCATTTCTCTCGCTGAAGACAGCGCTCGCATCTACCTAAGGTCTGAGTACTTTGGAACTTGTCAATTGCCACTTGCAAATTTTAGCTACCATCCTGTAATACTGAAGTACAGCACCTAGAGATCAAAAGTCTTATTGTGCAGAGGAATATGACAGAGAGGGAGCTTTCCGTTTTGGACGTGTCTCTTCCCGCCTTGCGCGTCAGTGTTTATTGCTGCTTCATTTCATCAGGGCAACTTGCAAATACTGCATAAGGAACTCTCCCTCTATTGTGAGCTCCGTTTTTTCGTCAAAATAACTGCAGCGCTGAGGCTGCAATCTTGGTTCTCCTTTATTCCTAATTCTCCAGTTCATCTATGGCAAGTTTAAATGATTATTGCTTTATTTTGCTAGAAAGATACCGATCATGATCTAGTGGGAGATGTCTGTGACACCAACCAGGACAGGTGAGAGCTTCCTTCAAAAATTATACTGAAGTTGCATGAAATCTTGGGGATGGGGGGAAGGCATGCTTTGCTAACTCCACAATAAGTAGGCTTGGCCTGAGCCTGTTTCTTCATCAGACAAGGGAGAGGGAATTTTTTTCAGACCTCAGGAAACTTGCCAGCAGTGGCATGGGCCAAAGGCTAGAGAAGGACAGCAGGCTTGCTTTTCACTGCCTGCCTCAAACTTGCTCATAGTGTACAGCTGGAATATTCATTTCTGATCTGTTGTATGTGTGCCGGTAAGAGCTTAAGACTTAATAAGGCTAAAATCACCAACTTTCCCTGTTCATCCCAGTTCCTAGAAAGGAGTTACAGGCTTACTTTAAAAGCATATGTCAGCTTCTAATCTTTACTTGTATAACGCATTTTTTTTCTACCAGTGATGGGGATGGTCACCAAGATACACGGGATAATTGCCCATCAGTGCCCAACAGCTCCCAGCTGGACTCGGACAATGATGGGCTAGGAGATGAATGTGACGACGATGATGATAATGACGGGATTCCAGATGAGAAAGCTCCAGGACCTGACAACTGTCGGCTTGTCCCTAACCCTGGCCAAGAAGACTCGGACGGTAAGGGGGAATGGGTGCAGATTAGCTCTGCCTAGGATTCTTCCGTTCCTGGAGGCCACTGCCTATTAGCTTGACCTCCAAAGACAGGCAGGAAGTTAAATTACCTCAGTGCTGACTTGAGATAGCCCTAGGCACATTCAGACCTCCAGTAATCCTGGCATCGGGCTCATTTTTGAGAAAAGTTCTCTTCCAGAACTATCTATGGTTTAAGGTGTTCTAGTCGCAGCATCTCTGCGAGCAGTGAGGGAAGGGTCAGGGTTTCTGCGTAACTGACTCATAGGAAAAGAAAGCATGCAGCAGCATTGCCCACATGCTCTGAACACCTCCTACCCTTGCATGGACATAGTTGCCTGAAATTGTGATAGCCAAAAGCTAGCTGAGTAAAACGCGGATGCAAAGGCTAAGAAATTAATGAAAGCTTGTCGCTTCTTTCCTTCGATCATGCTCTCTCAGGTGATGGTGTAGGAAACCTTTGTGAAGAGGATTTTGATCAGGACAGGGTGATTGACAGAATTGATGTGTGCCCAGAGAATGCAGAAGTGACACTAACAGACTTCAGGGCTTTCCAGACAGTTGTACTGGACCCTGAGGGTGATGCACAGATTGACCCCAACTGGATTGTCCTCAACCAGGTAGGAGACCGCTTCAGAACTGGCTAGATACAATTTTCATTAAAAGTCATTGCAGGCTCAGTGCTACAGTATAACACTGTCCTAATCCTATAGTCTCACCTCTGTGTATCTTTCCCCTGAGTGTTTAAAAGGGTGTAAAGTCAGGATGTTTGCAGTGTACGCTAATAAGTCAACACTCATCTTTCACAGGGCATGGAAATCGTTCAAACCATGAACAGCGATCCTGGCCTGGCTGTAGGTGAGGTGCTTATTTTTGTCCTATTGGAAGACTGTGGTTCATTAATTGGGCATCTTTCTTCTCAGTACAGCTTTTAAAAGTATTTCAGACACTACTTAATGATTCCATCCACTAGCCTCCTTTTGTGGGGGAAAATATTTTCTGTGTAGTAAGCAGAGTCCATTTCCTTAGCACAGTCCCCTTCCCCTTTCTGATTCTGGAGAGAAACAGATCAGATCTACAATTTTACCTCAGAATGCAGAATAGTTGTTTTCCTACCACCTAAAGGTTACACGGCCTTCAACGGAGTGGACTTCGAGGGCACGTTCCATGTGAACACAGCCACAGATGATGATTATGCTGGCTTCATATTTGGCTACCAGGACAGTTCCAGCTTTTATGTAGTCATGTGGAAGCAGATGGAACAGACCTACTGGCAGGCAAACCCCTTCCGAGCAGTTGCAGAACCTGGAATTCAACTGAAGGTAAAGAAACTAGCAGAAAAGAAGGCAGTAATAGATTTTTTGCCTTTTTCCTAGCTCTGCTGCTTTTCCCCATACAGTGGGATAGCAGCTATGGCTGATCAAGCCTTTAGTCACACAATTTATCAATCTCTTCTCTGCATTAGGCGGTGAAGTCTAAAACGGGCCCAGGTGAATATCTCCGCAACTCTCTCTGGCACACTGGAGACACTACAGACCAGGTCAAGCTGCTGTGGAAAGACCCTCGCAATTCTGGCTGGAAGGACAAGACTTCTTATCGCTGGTTCCTGCAACATCGGCCTCAAGTTGGATACATCAGGTAAGGGGGGGTTTACAGTTTCTTCTCCGTGGCTGACTGGTAGTTTAGTTTAATGCACCAAACTACCATAGCACTGCACCCGAGATGTTTAAGAGGAGGAGAGCCTCTATGTGATCTTGACACACCCATGTAGAAATTGCTTCCTCAATCTCATCTTCTATACATGTCTATTCTCTTCCAGAGCTCGCTTCTATGAAGGCCCTGAAGTAGTAGCAGACACTGGAGTTGTCCTTGATACAACTATGCGAGGAGGACGTCTAGGAGTCTTCTGCTTCTCGCAAGAGAACATTATTTGGTCAAACCTGCGTTATCGCTGCAATGGTGAGTTAGCTTTGAAGGTCAAGTACAGAAATGCTTGCATTTTTGTTTTCTTGGTTAGCGTACATAACAAATGTAGCAGGATATAATGCAGTAGCTCATTTAATTTTTCAGTTCCACTTCTAATCTATATTTGCTTTAATCTTGTCTTCCTCAGATACTATTCCAGAAGATTATGAAACATATAGAGTTCAGCAAGATCAGCCTCTGGCTTAAACGTCTGTCCAAAAACACTTGCTTTAAAAAAAAAAAAAAAAGTGCTCAGCTGCCCCACTATTGCCTCTGGTATACTGTATAAAGAACTGTAAGTAATGTACCACTGCACTCTGCACAGCACCAAGTGTCACTGCATTACCTGGCATCTTTTCTACAGCAGCAACTTTCTTTAAATGCTATGAAAACATATTGGAATTGCAGTGGTGTAGACATCAAGTGTGAATAGAAGCCTATGCTGCTGTAAACGCTAGTTCTCTACACTACATGGAAAAAGATGTGTTGAGGAGCTACCAGCAGTAGCTGGAATTGTTGAAGCAAGTTTAGCATGGGTGTTTCCCAGGAATCTTTCCCCTCCTCAGAGGCTCTCAAGTGTGAATGTTATTCTTTTCACGACCTACTGCAAACCAAACTCGGCACTGGTCTGAAAAGCACACAGCGAGAGCAGCCTATGTCCAAGTTGCTCACAAAACATAAAAAAGCACTTTAAGGAGAGTATTTTTGTTCTGGAATGTTGGATAATAAATACTCTAGTAGACTTCGTCTTTGTCCCATGCATGTTGCACTTTCCATATGCTTCTGGTATGAATATGTAACAAAGAAGCCCTCTAAGCAGAGAGCAGTAGTACTGCTACAGACGCCACAGCTGAATTAACAACTTTGTTAGCAGCATAAATGCACAGGATCTTTCATTCAAGAAACTCCTTCTAGTACTACCTGGCTTTTCCAGATAGTGGTAGCTATTTTCAGAATTATAAATGAAGACTTTATGCTAGGTTTGTCTTATGACACGGTGCCAGGAGTCCAAAAAATAAGATAGGTGAGGAACTGAGGAAAATGACGTTATTACTAGCGCGGGTGCTCACTTGAGCTGAATACACAGCTGTGCCACAAGGGCGTCTGTGGTCAGCAGCTTGGACTACTTGCCCAGTCTTTTCCAGGTAAACAGTAGCAGCGTTCTAGTTTGCCTAAAGACAATAAAAGCCCAATTCTGCAAGATGCTTCAGGAGAGCAGTTCATGCTAATTGTACTGAAACTTGATCATGGCTTCATTAGAAAGGCAGTTCTTGTTGACTACTTAACAGTGCAGTTTTGCAAGTAGTTTTAAGTTTCATTCTGGAGCAAGGCTCTATGTTAAATCCTGTACAGGGGCTGTGCTGTGTCTTAAATGTTACCAAACAAGCAAGGTGTGACCAAACTTTTCTTCTCCTCCCAGAAAGCTGGCTTACAGCAAAAGCTTCACTTTAACCAAGCACAAGTCTCCACAGCTATTTGCATTTGAATTTCATGTTCTGGAGGCAAGGGCAGAAGCAAAGATCTGCAAAAGAACACTGGTTTTGCTAACTAGCTCCTTTCAAGTGTTAGCTTGCTGATCACAGCACTCTGAGAGCATCTTCAATTACCATCCTAGACTACCATGAAAAAGCCATTAAGTTGATCTTTCTTCACCAGGAAGACATGCAACTGAGTCAGTCCAACTCAAAGTACAAAACAGCTTTATGGACTGAAGGGACATTAGACCACATCTAAGAAATGGCTTCAAACGTCAGTGTGCCCAGAGATGCTTTGTTACCATGCTGAAAGCAGAAATGAGCTACTTTCCATTTACACTAGCAAGTGGCATGCATTCTCTCAGTCTTACTGCAGAACAATTTAGTTACGATCGATTGATAGATATATTGAATCAGAATGACAGCTTTCTACCCAGCACACCTGTCCTTTAGGTTCAAACACAGATTGCAGATGACTGGTTCCCACAGACAAGTATAAAAAATGGTAACAGAAAAGGATTAATTCCATTCAAAAGAGCTATGAAATAATTGCCTAAGCTGAGAGAGAGAGTTGGTTATTCTGTCCCAGCTAAAGATAAACACTGTCTTATTAACCTAAAACTTTTCTCATCGCTGGCTCTACTTACCTCTATTTTGACAAGCACCCTAAAGCAGGATTTACTGCAGTTAAAGTTACACCTAGCTGTTAAAGCCTGCACAGATGACAATCTAATCAGGCAAGTCTGAACATTTACACACTTATTGTCTCTTTCCGAAGTCCAGCAATTCAAAGGTAGACGTAAGTGCTGCTTACCATAGCATGCTCTAAAACTATACAGCAGTCCAAAAAAATGTAAAGAGCAGAGACTGTCATGCCACTGTCCTCAAGAGCAATAAGAACTTAAGGGACTACATCTGGAGACAGCTTACATTTTTGAGATTTTAACATATACTTTGTAACTTTTAGATTAGAGTGCAGTTTCCTCTTAAAGAGGAAGATGGGGTTCAATCTTCATAGCTGTAAGAAGCCAGCTTACCCAAAATAATTTGATTTTGCTGTTTCCTTATAAACATGAGCACTGAAAAACCTTCAGTCAAAAGCCAAACAAACAACAAACAAAACTAAGGAAGAAAAAGCTAAGCAGCCAGAGACAAAAACAGTTGAACTTTTATTACATTTCATTTACAAATAATGCAAAGATACAAAGACAAAAGCCTTCACACAAAAAAGAAAAGATTGAAAAGAATGTACATTTAGTTGAGCTGCTTTTTTTCACATCATTTCTCAGATTGCAAACACTTAAAGCCAACTTCAGTTTTCCACTTTACCTATAGAAAAGCACAATAAATAAAAGTTTTATGTCGCAGGGACAATTTTTCCAGAGTTCCTGTGCCACCAAAGCTGTAGCTGAATATAGGATTGCATATATCAGTGAAATAATCCACAAATTATTTTAATAGAAAAAGTTTAGCTTGTAAAGAACAGTATATTATACTGTTTCTGAAAATGCATAAATCTGATTTTTTTTTTCCCCAAGCTCAATGAACTACATAAAGTTGTTTTTAGCTGCCAGTCTATGAGAGAAGCTGCCAAAAGCAGCTGTATTTAATTTTATTAAAATCTAACTTGCCCTTCACATGTATTAATACATTTTACTTCCACTTCTAAAAGGAATCCTTCCACAGATTTTGGGGGGGTGGGGGAGGGGTGGCTCATAAGGTAAGAAGAAAACATTAGTTCCTCCCAAAAATAAAACCTCAGTATCTACCGTCTTACTAGTTCGTAGCTGGCCGAAATACAGTTATTTTAATTACTATGCTGTATAACGCTGACCAAAGATTGATGGATGTGTATAGAATATGTTTATACACGTAGTTATCTTCTGACTGTGTAGATGCTCATGCCATGAATATTCAGGATCCAGTAAATAAAGACAGACTTGTTTAAGGAAGCCCTATCCCCCCCCCCAAACAACATTTTGCCCCCTTAATATTATCCTACAACTTTTATATTCATCATCTACTCTGCAAGAACAACCATTTTACTTTTTTTTTTTTAAATGTCTTAGAAATTCCAAAATTGAGCCAAGCTTAATCTTTTCCTTTCAAATGGAGGCTTGTAACATTATACATAAGCAAAGATACTTGATAACTGCTTGCTTTTCTTTCCTGACAAATAGCCAGAGCAGATTTTGTTTAATAAAAAATTGCCCTTTGTATGGTATAATTCAACTCAATTTCTGTAAGTTTAAGCCTGTAAAATTTCTGAAGGAAATACTGATACTCTACTATTACAGCTGCAGAAACTAGTTCTTAAATTAGATTTATAAATGGACACCTTTTAATCCTTTTCTTCTAAACCACAGTATAAAAAATTGGATTGAATAATCCATAGGACATGTACAAATGAACTTTACATTTCACTGTACAAATACAGCAGTTCAAAAGGCAGAGTAAGATACAGTATTCTGAAAGCAGATGTCTCTAATGAGAACCAACAGCATGTACAGCACTTTTTCAGTATATCACTTTGTACTTTGCTTTTTAAATGATACTAGCTCAGACTGCCTTCACATCCAAAAACCCCTGCCCTACTTTCATAGATTTAGTCAAGATTCATTACAAATATAAACCTCTTACCACCAGCTGAAGCCTTATCCAAGACTTCCCTTAGCCATTACTCAATTCTGACAATTTAAGCTTATTCAGGGGGAAATTTTATTGCACATTTAAGGAAAGAACGGAAGGATGGATGAATCTGCACAGGTCTCAGACTAATCTTTAAAATAAAGATTTAGCAAAATTTGAATGTGGCAGAAAACAACATTCTCAGGAGCAGAATATACGTTTTCCTGTAACTCTACGCTTTCCTATTTAAAAATCTCAGTTGCAGTTAAAAAATTTCCAGCTTACTTGCAGAAAAGGGTGCCCTTCAATAGATCTAAAAGCGTTATCTGCATGAGGTTATAACTAACGATATGCCATACAAAAAAATTCACAGTCAGGCAAATTTATTTATTTTATGTGTTGTCACACAGCTATTCCACTAGAGAGCGTTTTATAGAATAGTAGCCTCAAAGCAACATGATACAGATCAATCCCCTCCTTTCCTTCCCTTGCACCACAATGAATCATCTCCCAGAGGAAGTGGTAAAATCCCAGTCTTTTGAGACATTTGAAATGCAATTGGAAATCATAAAGCAGTGACTAGTTCTGCTCTTGCAAAAGAGTGTCAAGTCCTGAGAACATTTGGCCCTGTACAAATTACAAAAAGGAGATATGAATTGACTCAGTTTAGGACAAGCAGTCTCAGGAGACCTTTATGCTCTCTGGTTCTGAGGCTTGTATTTCTTCAGCAGAAGTACCAACTATTTTGGCTTTGTCTTATTTTCAGATACACTTTTGAGAGCTGAGTAACGCAGTTTCCTTCTTTGTTCATTAAGTGTGTTAACATATGGCTCAAATACAGCTTCCATTTGAAGAACATAAATTTCCAGGAACAAGAGCAGGAAGGCAGATTTTGGGACAAATTCTGCAATCTCTTGATTCACATGCTGAGAGCTGTCTGTTGCAATCCAAGTTCTGTTTGTCCTAATTTATTCATTGAAGGATTCTCTAAGGTAGGATGCCTACTGAAGGATGCCTAAGATTCATCTCCTACTGAGAGATGAAATCTTGAAAACAAGATTTGAGTTGTTTTAAAAAAAAATAAAAACAATCTTTTAGGGTTTTGAAAACACTTAGCAGAAGAGTAGATAGAATCCCTTAAGACAGCAATTGTCATTTCACTCATCTGCCAGCATTAGACGCCCACCAGTTTCTAATATAGCAAGGCCCACTTCATTCTGACTCATCTGCCACACAAAACTAATATTATAAAACAAAACTTGATCCAACACATTAAATAGTACAAAATCCAACAATTACAAGAGCAACAAAAGCCACATTAACATGAACATGCCTGTTCATTTAAAGTCAGGGTATGTCTAGGCTGCAGTCACAGCACTTGGCACAGACACGTAGACGTACATACTAGCCTGCTCACTCAAACAACCTTTACAGAGCTAGCTCTGGTGCAAGACCTCAGGTTAACGTCTTGTCCTGAGAAGTGTACATCATCAGCACCTATTCTCAAGTTCCCCGTATCAACCCAGAGTTAATAGTTCCCTCGCCGAGAGCTTTCTGCCACAGTTACTAGCATCCAAACTAGTTCAAAGGAAGCTCAAGTCTTCTGACTACACTGCCTTCACTGCTACAACTGCAATTA